CACACACACACACACACACACACACACACACACACACACTGCATTGGTAATCAGGAAACTGATCTAACCATTGCTCTATGAGGTAGCGTTCCTCATATACCCAAATGATAGATTGCTCAAAGGCTGTGACATACGTATATCAATACCTTCTCCAGCAGGTCCCTTCCATTTAGCCTGGAATTTCTCTTAGCAAAGGACAAAACCATTTTATATTTACAGATAAAGTTGAAAAAGCAAAGACCCATAGGAGAAGCAGCTTTCAACTTTCCCTTTTCCATTACTCGCCCGAATCTCCTTTGCTCAAACCCTCATCAGCTTCTTCAACTCCCCTTCTTACATCCAGACACTAAGTCCTGCCAGTTCCTTCTTTGATGTATTTTCCAAAGTCTTACTTGTTTCCATTCCTTCCACAAGTATCCCATATTCAGTCCTTTATTGTTCCACACCCGACTCATTGAAATTACCTCCAAACTGAACAGTTCTGCTTTTATATTAGTGACCCCCATTGACTACAACTACAGTTCTAGCTTTTTTTTTAATATATATAGCTGAGCCATCCTGCCACCTGTTGGCAGCTCAGCAGCAGCTCAGCTTGGGCCGGGAATCGAACCGCTGTTCAGAGCTCACACTCTTCAGCAAGCTCTTAACCAACTGAGCCACTCAGCCAGCCCTTTAGTTCTAGCTTTTTAACCTGGAATTATAATTCTTCCACATAGGATCTCTAGCCCTTTTTTTCCCCCCATTCTTACCTACTACTATGTGAATCTTCTGCTTTGGCTAAAATGGTCTAATGGTATTTCTAAAAGGATACGCTACCTCAAATTTAAATGGTGTATTATACAAAAATCACTTGGCAAACACAAACATTATGTAAGTATGAATTATTTTGTCTTGTACCTACTCCTGGTCAAACCACTGACACCCTTTAATAGTTTAATGATTTTTTTTCCTCATTCATACGCTCTGCCCTTTAGTCTGTCGAGAACCTTCTTCCTATTATCTGGTTACCCCAACCCCCATTACTTTGACTTCAGGGGCATCTTCTCTATCTCTCCCCTCAAACCCTTTGATTTGACACAACATATGGGAAGTTTTGAGTCTGCATCTCTCTCTACAATCACCACTTTCATAATCAACCCAGGCTACCAGCATCTAGCACTCCAGACAAAAATTTCATCCCAGGAGCCCACTTGATGGGAACAAAGGATCAGGCTGTTTTCGGTACCTTATAAAGAATGTCCGTCTTTTCATAGCTACCCCCCACTCATGTACTGAGAGTTCAGTCCTAGATAATCCACGCAGCTTTCCCTACCTAGTCTTTTCTACCCACCCACAGTCCACAGTGATCGTTGTCCTATGAATTCCTATAGAGCCAGACACCTGTGTGTTGTCCTGTTTAGTGATAGTTATATTCTGACATCCATGTTTAGTTAGCCTTAGTAGTTTATCCTTGTATACCCAAGTAAGTTGAAAAGTCTTTCAAGGTGACAAGAACATCTTATATTAATGTGTAGTCCCATATTTCAACATTATTCAACAGAGCCTGACATGTGATAGCTGCTAATTGATTACCTGGGTTTGTTAGTCATACTTTAAGTGACTGATAACAAGTCTCTCTGTTTTTTGTGGGGTTTTTTTGGAGTATTGATAGGCCTGTAGAAAGCCAAAAGCCACTGTCCCCTTGGAGGAAGAGATGCCAGAGCAGAGAACAAGGGCCAAGAAGGGAGATATCCAGAATCTAAAAGACAAATGTGCCAAAAGCATCATTTTACTCAAGCCAGGGATGTATTTATGCAGCACTTTTCAGACAAGAATCTCAAGACAGTTCTTGTTCTCTCAATTCCTCTGTCTTTACTTTTCATTATTGGGAGAATATTGATAATGGAAAGAATAAAATGAAATAAGCATTGCTAAGAGAGTCACTTAACATAGAGTCAGGAGGCTATTAAGGAAGTGGGGCCCATGCACATCTTGTGCTTCAGTTCCCAAAGCTGCTATTGCTAAACCTATTGCTAAACTCAGCTCGAAACGTCCTGGAGCCATAAACATCCTGGAACAACACCTCTACATGGACATATGTGGACTTGACCTCCTTCCTTGTAGTTTTCAGCTCCCTCATTTGCATATTGGAACTAACCAACCCCTGTTAACCTAGCTAGCAAGCCTTCATTTGCGTGCAAAAATTACATGGGTTTGGCCATTATAAAGCCTGCCTTTCCTTGTTCTCTCCAGAGCACAGTTTGGATTGTTACCTGAGTCTACATCTCTTAGATTGCTAGCCTTTGCTCAAATAAATACTTATTTATTTATTTAATTTTTATTTATTTATTTTGTTTACAGCCTAAATCCTTTTTTTTTGGCTAACAATTTATATTTATATATGTATGTATGTATGTATTGCCTGAAGTAGGCCTTATGCAGCTTCATAGCACTCTCTTCCATGGCCATAACCCCCCTGACTTTTGTTTTCCCCTTGGGGTTTACCTGAGTTCGCCTTGCCTTGCAGTCATCATTCTGATGCCAGAAAGCAGTGGAATTAGCAAATATAACATGGGAAACAAGAGGCATTACTGATGATTTCAGTAGGGAAGAAAGAGAGTGACCATAAGAATTAATTTTAACACAGTAATAGAGCTCATATAATGAACCCCACTATCAAATGAGACACAACTAGAAAGGAAAATGCCCTTCCAACTTTAATGGAGTGACAAACTCCAGATACTTATTTTGAAACCAAGAGAGGCTATTTTCTTCTAGCTGGACATTGTGGGGAAGACAAAGGAGGGTCCAGAGCACTGTCCACTGCTTTGAAAAGGCGGAATGGGCCTCTATTGCTTTTACCAGAGGCTGCATTTCTCTTCTGCATGCCCCCACCCTATCCATGTCCATGTTAATCAGACAGATGCCTAAATCTTATCTGTAGGTGTCAGTCAGGGACAATGCAGGGTTTCATGGCTAACCAATGAGCTGTAACCTTTTCTCTCCAGAAACAGGATTTTTTTTAAAAAGAGAAATCACTCATCTAGAATGAGTTTCAGTGCTAAAAAGTAAATTTATTTTTCTAAGTGTCAGATCCCTCGTCTGTATAGAAGGACTGTCTCCTGATAAATGTATTCTTTGACATCAATTTTAAAATTATATAATTAAATACAAGTAGACAGTGATTCGGATTAAAATAAAGATGCATGTATCACTGATATCAGTTTATTATAGCATTACCATTATTAAAGTCCTTTATTGTCACAGGGAAAAATGAAGGCCAATTGTGATGCATATATACTTCACCTTAATATAAATACTTCAAAAAAAATTCCACCAGGGGTTTTTACCGCTATGCAGCTCTTTTGCATATATTCCTAATTTCTCTATTGCCTTGGCAATTAAACTCCAATTGAATGCTCGTCCCCCATTCTTGTGTGAATCCTCCCCAACAGAAAGAACAAATGTCCTCAAACCATTGCCATACAGTTCTGTAAAAGACACAAATAATTGGAAGTCTCAAAACTTCAAATGTAATACGTAATGGCCAAGGCATAATTTGGATGACCAAACTTTGGACTATTTATTTTAAATATAGAATTTGTTCTAAAGATTTGAGAAGATATACAGAAAAGTTTGTTTTTTTCGTATAGCTCTACTTAAATTATTGTTAGAAGGAAAAATAAATTGAATTTTTGAATGAATAATTGTTAGACTGGACAAGTCTACCTTATTTTCTCCACCATAGCCCCTTACCGGCATTACATATGCACAGAAAGACCATCCACTGAGTTGCCAGCGTTCTTAATACTTTTTCTGTTTTAACAGAATATGATGCTTACTCTCAGCTTAGGTTAGAGGAAAAGATAGCAGTTGGAGGCTTTGTTCAGTTTAACAAACAATAAAATGGCTTCAAGTAATACAACTGTCTTTGCACCTATATTTTAAACACAAATGAACTTTTCATTGGCAACTTTTCAACACGGTTCTCAAAACAGCGACGCAAACATTCAAAAGGTACAGTTGAAGGGAGAGGGGAGTAAGAATCAGTAACTTTCTGCAACAGCTGTTAAAATGAAACCATTATTCATCAGAAAATTAGAGGCCAGCTCTAACTATAACAAATCTCTGGATTCTCAGTCAGGTCATATGGGTGGAAATTTACATTCAAACGGAGCACCAAATAACTTCCTTTCTGGAGCAGTAAAGATTATAACCGGTTTCTTATCAGGAGTGGCAAGGCTGAAAGAGTAACTTTTGAGTGGGGAGAAAGCTTGGAGTGCTCCACAAATTCAAAGGGCAAAACGCCGTTTTCCTAGACCTGGGGGAAGGTTAAGCAAGCCAAGGAGCCAATGTAACCCTGTACAAGCCTGTCTGGGACACCCCAGGGAGGATACCCCTACCTAGGCCTTTAGTGTCCCATTATTTGAGGTAACCGACTCTGAGGTCACAGATAGTGCTAAACTTATCAGGACCCGTTCGAGTGAAAGCCCAGAATTCCTATTTGGAAACCAAGGTCCTGATAACTATGTGTCCTGGACGTCCTGCAGAACAGATCCTATGTAGTGTTAGGACTCACTACACAGAGCTATTCCCCTGTCCGAAAAGGTCGAGGGGATGAATTAGGAGGAAAGAGTCTGCATCCTTTGGATAAAATTACCCTAGTAGGTGCCCGAGGGAGTGCCGGGCCGCACACTGAGGGGCCCTCCCTCCTGGATGTCAGACCACGCTACCCCTAGGCCTTCCGTTTTTTTCTGGTCCCGAGAGCTCAGCGGCACCTAGCAACGCCTGCACTGGCAAACAATAATGGTGTCTAGCGGCGCTTCCGTTTGTCCAGGCCGTAGGCGGAGGAATAGGCCCAGTCGGGATGAGTCCGCGGTGCGCTCGCTGAGCGCAAACCAAATCGCGGACGCTTGGGGAAGCGCACGTCTCCCTGGCCGCGTGGCGTCTCCAGCGGGCACCCTGGCCGGCGTGCGCCTCGCGCAGTGGGTAAGTGGCGATGCCAGCACGTGTAGACTCACCGAGAGCACCCAAACAAACAGAAGTCCGATCTCCCTTTCTGTTGTCACTTTCTTTGGTGAGTGCTGACACCACGACAAGCGCGGATGAAATCGTCCCGCACTTCTTCCTCACTCTTGCCCACTGGTCCAGCCTTGTACTTGCAAGTCCACTCTAAGAGACAGCTTCTGGCCACTTGTTTTGAATCCAAGAAAACAAAGCAATGAGCTGTGTGTGGGAGAGTTATTCTGCGAGTCTACAGGGGGAGGCGGGGGTTCCAGGGGACACCATAGCCACAGGTAAAAGCAGACCCTCCCGCCTTTTCCCGGCTAGTAAATAGTACATAGGGTCCGGCAAGGGCATAAAGGGAAACAGAATGGAAAGAAGGGATGCGATCTAAAAAAAAAAGTGAACGTTTCCAGGCCAGGAGGACCGTGAATGGGGCAGGGGTAGGAACGGAGCAAAGCCCTGAATCTGAAGTCCACGTTCTAGCAGTGGGGCAAGCAGGTGGAATCCACTAGTGGGTGTGGCGGCTAGGTGTACAGTTTTTTTTTTCTGTGTAGATTTTTTTGCCCTGAACAGCTGAGTCTTAAAGTTCCGCCGCGAAAATATGTGGAGTAGAAGGAGGAGGCAATTGCTGGAAAAAACTAATTTTGAGGCCAAAGTCAGAGCCCAGGTTGCTGTTCACAGACCCAGGAAGTTTCGCGGGCCCTCCAGCCACGCCGCTGGAGCCCCTTTGCACTGAGTGCGCTCCCTCTGGGTAGCAAATTGGGCAGCGGGGAGAGGGAAAGAGGTCTGGCAGCCGTGGGCGGAGCTGCAAAGTCAGAGAAAAAGTGGCAAGTGATTATAATAGCTGTTGATTCTGCAGGCTGGGGGAGGCAGAGTGGATGGGGCGGCTCTACTCGCCGGCTACTCCTCCGTCATCATTGGCGGCCGAATTTGCACTTGAGAATCTTCTTAAAGGCGTTTTGGAAGTCCTTGTTGAAGTAGGCATAAATGACAGGGTTGAGGAGAGAGTTGGAGTAGCCCAGCCAGTTGATTATGGCTCCCAGCAGGGTGGGCATGTGGCATCTGCTCTCGCAGAAGGGCAGGACCAGGGCCACGATGAAGAAGGGCAGCCAGCAGAGGATGAAGGTGCCCATAATGATGCCCAGCGTCTTCACCGTCTTCCTCTCGCGGGCCAGGGCCATTTTGCGCTTGGCCTCAGCATTGCGCTCATTTTTCTTCTCGAAGGAAGTGGGGGCGCAGGGGACAGTACCAGCCTCGCTGGGCAGCGGGAGGTGCTCTTTGGAGTTGCCCACCCTGTGCACTTCGATCACCTCCAGGGCGGCGCCGTCGTCGCCCCGTCTCACCGCTCCATTGGCGCACTGAGTCCCCCCAGCCTTGTTCCCCACGCCCTGCCTCCATTCTCTGCTCCCCGGCTCTCCATTTACGCTCTTTTTGGGCTGCGGGGCTGGCGACGTCACAAGGCAGGTGTCGGTGCTCCTCTCCACCTTCTTGACTGTCTTGCGGATGCGGAAGCGCGCAGCTCGGAAGATGCGCCCGTAGAGAACTAGCATGAGCAGCAGCGGGATGTAGAAAGCGCCGAAGGTGGAGTAGATAGTGTAGCCGTGGTCCTTACTGATGGTGCACGCGTCGGGGTCCGAGCGGTCTTCAGGGGTGCGCCAGCCCAGCATGGGAGGGATGGAGATGAGGAAGCCAATGAGCCAAGTGAGTGAAATGAGCGCAGCGGCGCGCCGGGGCGTCCTCTTGTTCACGTAGTCGATGGGGTCCGTGATGGCCCAGTACCTGTCCAGCGCGATGGCACACAGGTGCAGGATCGACGAGGTGCAGCACAACACGTCGAGGGCAATGAACAGGTCACAGGTGATCTGTCCTAGCGTCCACTTGTTGAGCACCTGGTACAACGCGGCCATGGGCAGCACCAGCACCGACACCATGAGGTCGGTGACAGCCAGCGAGCCAATGAGATAGTTAGCCACGTTTTGCAGGGAGCGCTCCAGGGCGATGGCGGCCACCACGCACGCATTGCCCAGCACCGCACAGAAGATAAGCGTGCCCAGTAGCAGAGAAGTGACCACTTGGTAGCTGAAGGTCACGTCGGAGATGCCAGTAACGTTGTTTGTCCCGAAGGGACCTTCGGAGGATGTGGTGTTGTTGCCCTGGCCAGGGCTGAGCACATCCATGCCTGCGCGCCCGGAGGGGGGAGGGGGAGGGGAGAAATCGCTGCACGAGGATCCCCCTCGCCCCTCCCCCTGCTGTCTGCCGCCCCTTTCTCCCGGGAGTTTCAGGGAGAGGGGATGCAGGGACTCAAGCAGGAAGTTCTTACTGCTCTGGCGAAGGCATCTCCGAGGAGCAGCTTCTAGGCGCTCCCTGGGCTCCCCTGGTCCAGCGCGTTCAGGGACTCTAGCAGGGAAACGAGTTGGCCAGAGAACAGCTCCGGGATCTCTGGGCGACAGAGAGGTGGCTGAAACGTCTGCCTCTCGCTGTCCATTTTACTTTGCCGCTGCCCAGCTGGCTGCCGGAGCCTGAGTCTCGCCACTAGCAAACACCCTCCAACCCTAGAAGTATCTGGAATATTGAAACACCATCCTCCACGGTCACTCTGTGACACTCTTCTCCCTGCTTCTCTCCCTCTCTCCCACTCTCCTCTCCTCTATCTTCTCTTTTTCTTAAGCCTCCTCCTTCCCCTCCCCTTCTCCCCACTAGCCTCTCTTTGCAGTATCTCTCTCTCTCCTCACTCCCCTTTCTTTATCCCTCCGTGTCGCTCCGACAGCCAGTCTCCCTTCCTCCCACACTAACCCTCCCCTCCTAACACTTCCCCAACCCGGAATGTCTCTTTCCTCTGGGTCCCCGCCCTCCCCTCCCTTTAGCGCAGCGTCTTAGCGTTCAAGCCCCTTTTGTCAACAGACTCAGAACTGGTTTACACACACCGGATCTCCTGGTCAGACCAACATTACAAATAACTCTGCCTCCCACCCAGCCAAACTCGAGGGGAAAATCTAACTACCCAGTGCTTCATATTTCTGTCAAATTCTTAAGTAGAGTTAGCATCACAGAGTGGCAATAAGAAATGAGGGAAAGAGGCACTCGGAGTCTGAATAGAGACGTGGACAGCCCTGGGTCAGACTGTAAGTTATTGTTAATTGATGGAGAGAAAACGGAGTGTCTCAGCTTTTAAAAAATCACCCCTGTTCATCATTTTAAGTTCAGCCTGACTCCCTTGGGGAAGACGTTTCCTGTGACTTTTTTTTTAACCTTGGGGATTTGGGGGAGAACTGAATTATAAAGAACATATCAAAGGACAGGTAAATAGATGCATCTCCCAATGAAGAAAATACTCAGTTCGGTTTGTGTTCTGCAAACACACTCACACGTGCCTTTCCATCACCATTTCCCTTTAAAATTCAGTGAACATTGCCATCTCCCAAAGCTTTGTGGCGAGTAAATTTAGGGGGGATAATATTTTGCCTGTATGTTATAAATGAGATCAGACATTTAATGTGGCTTTTTGCTTTTCATGCCAAACCCTGCAAACCTTTAAGGGAGAACTTGATAGAATCCCTGTTCGCGGCCCCTGAGTTTCTCTTAAGCTATGAAACTGGTTTCAGTACCTGGGACAGCTCTAGGCAATAAGGGCTTATGCCGCCACCTTCTGGTAAATACTTTAGAGCGCCATCTAGAAACCCTTGTCTTGCAAAAATTGAGCAGGTATTAAGGAAATCCCATAACTTCAAGAAAGAAAAACACGGTTATTAAAAGAAAAGTAACATTGAGGTTTGCATTGTTCTCCTATTTAAAATTTTCTTTTAGTGTCCTCTTTCGCTCTTAATCTTGTATATCAAACTTATTATATTTTCTAGCTCTTTTTGAAAGCCTGTAGCATCTGTGTCATTCACAAGTCCTATCTAGGAATTCGGTTTTAGTAGACATAGGCAAACACCTTCACACCTTCATCTGTGTTGGTTTTATGTTGACAAAGCCTGCATTTTGGAACTCGCTCATTTGCACAAATTCACCAACAGGGGAATGACAACATTGGGTTATTTGAGGATGACTTCACATAGAAAATAAAGAGGCTGCTATTGGTTGGTTCTAAGCTGTTTCCTTTACCAAGAAAACTAAATTTAATCCCATTTGAACATAGGTAAAGATTGGGATTCCTACATGTCTATCCACTAGAATAGACATGTAACACAGAAAATTCACGTACACATTCTGATTGCATGACTGAAATAAAAGAGCAGAATACAATCCCAAAAGCAGATGGCTCTAAATAATGCACAGATTCACGACAAATAGCAATAGTCTTAACATTGTGCTCATATTTGAGCTCTGAATTTCATAGCTTTGAATTCCCCAAGACCAAACAAAAGAGCAATAACCCAAATGTCAAACAAGATCTAGTTGAGCCGATGCATACAGAACAGGGCAATGTGTTTGGAAATGGATTGTTTTACAGTGCAGTGCTGGGCACAGATTCCACTCAATCACTTCAACATGCCACAGTAATGAACCTGACTTTTGTAATTCATGGCATTGAAAAGAAACAGGTAAGCATACATGGTGATTCTGGCTACAGACTATGAAGAAGTCTTTTTAAAATTTGTGAAGGTTCTCATTCTCTTTTTTTAAATTGCCTGACAGGGAGCATTTTCTCAATTTGTTGAGATTTTGCTTCCTGACTGGCTGAAATAAACTCATAAAAATTCAAATAAAAATAAAAATAAAATAATTAAGTGCCTGACAAATACAGAACTAAATAGCTTTGTTAAAATACAGTTTCAGGTCCAAAAAAATTATAGTAGGAAAATAATTAAAATCTGGATTATCCAAAGATAAAACTTTGGAAATGTAGCTGATAAATATAAACAAAGAGTAAAATAAATTTAAATTTTAAAAAATAAATATCTATATATATACAAATACACATTTAAATAATAAATATATACAAGGACTTAATTGAATACGAATTGTGTCAGATTTAGCATATATAAATAAATATAGTATGTCAGTAAACATGTCAGTCAGCAATTGGGCATTTTCCTTTTGGATCCCAAATGATTTCATAACTGACAAATTTATTTTTATTTTTCAAGAAATATGAAATGCTATAAATCTGGAGTTAATATTCATGAGGTCTGGCATTTGTTATTCTGCTTTAATATTCTGCAGTGCAGCATTTTTATTCAAGTTGAAAAAAAACCTCAAGCAGTTTATGTTTTCCTTAGAAATAATGTACATAATATTTCAAACATTTTATTTTTAAAAATATATAACAAGTTTTTTTAGGCACTCTGATGAACACTAAGAAGAAAATGAAACTATGAAAGGATATGCAGCACTGCCTATGGTTTCATACCCTTCAAGTAACTAATACATAATTATGTATAAGTTTTATTGAATAATACTATGTTATGTATTAAAAAGCAAAATGATGTAGCATTTCTTCATGTTCACACTTTGCCAACTCTTCTGTGTTTAACCCTTAAAGATAAGGAAACACACACAACAAAAATGGTACCTCAAAGCCTCTGAAACTAGCCTAAAGAAAAGCTAGCCTTAAAGTGGATATTATTGATGACATCATTTGAAAACAAAACTTCCAGTCATCCTGCTTTTATTTCTTGTTTGAATTTACTAGATGCAAGTATGAACTTGTCAGTTATGGATCTGGGGTATGATACATCATCCATCATATGAAATTTCTCTAAAATAGTTTATGGGAGATAAAGATTTTTAACATTTTCACAGGAAATTTGATACAAGCCCAGCATTTCAATGTAGTTCTTTGACCAGGGACAGAAGATTAAAAAAATATATATTAGGCTGAAGTTTTGCTGTGAACTTTGAATGTCCTATCGTTACGGGAAGGCTCAGTAATTGTTGAGGTTTCTCAGTAATTGAAACGTTTATCCATAATTCCCAAATTATGGCTGCTTTTTCTATTAATGAGACAGTAACCTATATAGTAAAGAATTGAAATTTTACTTAGGAGATTACAAAAGTGATTTAAAAGCTCCTATTTAAAAAAAGTTTTTATCTTTTTTTTCAAGTAATTGGAAATTAGGATAGATTATTTTTTAAACTAATAATACCATTCTGAATTTAATTTTCCTTCATCCTCAAATACTAAAGCAATAGGGCAATTGTAGTTTTCCTAGCACTATGAATTTTTACTGGAATTCACCAGAAAAAGAAACTTCAAAGGGAAATATTTGCTTATATAATTTAGGAAATGTGATCTTCCCACTATCCATGAGAATTATCTGGTCATTTATAAGAAATGCAACCAAAAATGCAAGAGAATAAATTATCCTTTAAAATTAACACACTTTTTTTGTGTGTCTAATCCTCACTGTTCACTTTCCTGATGGTAGCATTCTTTCACTGCTACTTCTACACTGTCAGGCACTTCTAAAGGCTCAGCACTGGCTTTTCAAGGGCAGAACACAAATGGTAGAAACCTCAGTCTCTGCTCCTGAGCATTGTAGCATTGGCTTGGTTCATTTAGCACACATGCTGAAAACATAGCATGTATGAACAAGACCAGCTCGCTCGACCAATCGTACCTGGGAGGATTGGGTGGGAGACGAGAAATAGAGATAGAGACAAAAAGCTGGGAACGGGAGGTCCCCTCAATGCTGCTGGCAGAGAGTGGCCTCGTTTATTATTTGTATACAGCTTTTATAGCAAAAGTAACTTTCCTAAGATAGGGTTGGGACCTTGAGGGAGTAGCTCCCTCCTCTCAGGGAACAATTTCCTTGGAAGCAATCTTCCCAAAGTGAGACAAAGCAAAGTATAGCAAGCAGAAACTGTTAACAGTATGGTCTTCCACTCTGTAACTTTTAAGGTTGTCTGTGACATTGGCTGTTCTTTCTTCAGGGACACAATGGAGATGAGATCTACCCAGCAACCTTCCCACGCTGCTCCCCAAGGCCTAAGAGCCTGTCAGCTTGCCAGCTGTCAGGCTTAACCCTTACTGCAGCTCTGGTCTGTAACTTTTAAGCTGCTCTCAAGTCGCTCTAAAGCTGCTCATCCTAACAAGGAGGCCTGTAGCTTGCCAGCTTACAGCCTCAACTTCCCTGGCTGGTCCCAGCCGGCTCCCCACACATGTAGAAAGCGAAAGCAATGTAATGTGTAAAGCAATGTAATGTGTATTCACCAGGTGGGTGACCTTGTTATTTAACCCTTTTGTGTTCTCAGTAGGAAAATAGGTGTAATAATAGACTTGTTAAGATTAAATGATTTAATACACTGCTGGCCCATAATAAACACCCAGTAAATGTTAAACAATAATAGTAATAATCGTGATGCAAAGTAACAATATTCTGTCTGTACTGATAATTTCTGAGGAATGTGGAAAAAGAATTTTGTGGGCTCAGTCAAAGAGCAAAGAGCAAGAGCTTGAAAAAAAACCTAGGCCCTTTCAGGCTAGGATTTATTATGAAAACAATTTGCACATGAATGTGACATTCTCCCTACTCCTTAAAGTATTAGGAAAGCTTTCAATTCTCTAGGAAATTCTAAGTACAACAAGTGAAAAAGGCATGGCCTCTGCATTCTGGAACATCTTGACTTAAATCAGACGTTACTGAGGGGAGAATAAAGAATATG